TACCTATGGCAGCAAAACTTTCCTCTTCTTCATCCAAAACTCACATTTCTCATCTGAAGATGACAATATTAATAAAATATACATGTCACTGGTTGAATGGCCACTATTAGCTATTAAAGTAGGGTGGGAAACTTTTGGCTCTTGACCTAATCTGCTGTAATAGACTGACTCAACAAGCCTACAGGGCTCAAAGAGTGGTTCTGCGATCATCTGCTCTACTCCTTCAGTACCCTAGGGTGTAATCTATCTGGCCCTGGAGAGCTGAACTCATTTAAATTAGCTAATTTCTCTGTTACCCTCTCCTTGTCTAGCCTAAGCTCGTTTCCCAGTGGCATAGTGATGACTAGCTAGGATTCCACTTCCCACTTGAGAGAAAACAGGCACAAAATAAGAGTTGAGAAGTTCTGCTTTCTCACGTCACTCATTACTGCTTCACCATTTTCCCTTCACAATGGACCTACAATCTCTTTGGCCTTCCTTTTTGTTCTAGCATACCCAAAGAACTCATTCTGAGCTCTAGCCTTTCCAACAGAGTCCTATAGTTTCTGAAGGCTACCATACATCCTTTCTTTTTGGTTATGTTCCTCTTCTTCTATTTTCTGCATTCAAATATGCCTCTTCCAGGGCTAATTGGAAATATCAGAACGGGAGCCAGAGGCACCTCTAGGCTCATTGGGGGGGGGGGCAACTGCATTAAATTGTCGTCTTCCCCCTCCTAGAATAAGATATGGGGAATTTTCTTATGTTTATAAGATGATGTAATCAGGTTCCACCTAAGTGTAAGTCAGCTGAGAGTATGGGAGTACTGAAGTGGTAGATAAATTGCACAGAGCTAAGACTGTCCGAGTCTGGAAAGGGACAGTTTGAGAACTAAATGAATGCCACAAGAAATGTATATTTAATTGGGGAAGGGGGCTAATTTAACTATTTGGCATAAGCCTATGTGAGAAGAATTCATTCCTATCCTCACTTGATCTGTGAAGAGAGCAAATATATGTTTAAGTTGCATGCAGCTGTCCCAGATGTTTGCCCCAAAAGGCAGAAAGGCTACATTTAATGTACAAAATTAAGATGCTCAGTTATGTCATAATCCTAAGTGTTGCTGAGGATATTAGCTATAATGTACCAGTCATTAGGATTTCATGACTAGATTGCTCTATGAAACAATGCCATTTTTAGAGTTTGATGTAGAAGATACCCTTAGAATTAATAAAATATTTACTTTAATACAGTATTTAAAATAAATTTGAAACATTTGTCACTTAAGCTAAATACACAAAACAGGAAAAATACTGCATTTTACATAAAAAGATAAGCATTTACTATACAAAACCTATTTGCCTTGAACCATCAAAATTGTGCTACTTATTCCTTCTTATCCAAGAGTGCCCACTTTATAAATATGCATAAAGACACAAATAATTTACTGCATTGGTTTATCTATCTCAGTTCACCATTCTCCTAACAGGGAAACCATGACTAGATTAGAAACTCAATATAACTTCGGTAGTTCTTGTTATAAAGTATTTTTCCCCCATCTATGTATTTTCCATTTCATAATATGTAGAGAAACTGTAAAGAATCTTTTTATTTAAAATAAAGACTTCAATTGCGAAGGCATTCAGTTGCTGTCTTCCCCACAGGTTCCATGATATACATCCATATCATTTGTGGTATATTACATGTCCACAATAAGGTAATGTTCATAGAAAAGTGCAAAAGATGATGGCAGGTGGATCTCTATCATCATCATCATCCATCATCATCTATTCAGGATAGATTAATATTTACATTCAACACTGTGGCACCCTGGAGAGTTTTGTGCTCTTCTGCAAATGCCCTAGCAAAATTTTTCTTCTGCTGCTTTTTAGCAGGTTTTAGAATTATTTCCAAGTCACCAGTATAAAATAAAGTGAGCAGATCCCTGATAATCAGTACATATATTCTCCTCATTCCCACAATGAAGGAGACCAAATCATTTTATATTCTAAATAAAGCAAGGGGGCATCTTAAACCTTGTAGGCTGCTTTAAAACACACACACACACAAATGCATATGTGAAGTTAAATGCATCTGAAGTCATCTTAGGGTGAAAATGGGTGGGCCACCGTCCTATGAAATGTCCCGCGAAATTACTTTGACATTTCAAGTATTGCTTTCTCCAACTCTTACAACTGTAGTTTGCTTGCAGATTTGTCTGGTAGGACTGGTAACACAAAGAATGCCAGTAGGGATTCTTCCTTCCCCATCTTTCTTTGGAAGCAGGAAATTATAGCCTGCATTCTGACATTTTTTGGGTTGGTTCCCAGGTGGTTTCTCTCCAACTAGGACACATAGAAAGGTTGAATTCTTCAGGCTATGCACTAGCAAACTGCTGGTTTGTCATTAAATACATTCATCACATCATTCTTCCCTAACTGCAATGTTAGAAGGCACACTCTTCATAGAATAATATTGTGGATTTATATACCAATACAGTACCTCACATGGAACTTAGCAGGCACCTGAAGCCTTCTGTCTTCCATGTATCCAGGCAGTGTGCCTATGTTCAACAATGACCTAACAAACAATTTCATGTAATATATGACTTCAGGATAGTGCAAACAAATTGTTCTTTGGCAATGTATGGTAGTAAGCTGAAATGCAGAATTAGACTAGCCACTACTTCAGAAGAGCTCGATATAAGACTAGAGAATGCTTTCTTTCTTTCTCTTGTTCCAGACAAAAGATCAAATCCCTGAGACAAATTCGGGTTATTCTTGGCCAAAGAGATGGCTTTGCAAGACCAGATGATCTGTTGAAGCCCTAGATGGGAGAAAAAGTTAGAAGAAAAGCATTTAAGATGTGTAAGACATGAACACTGAATAGGCTTTTGCAAGCATCACTATTTAATATTTGCCCTATATGGTATCTACTGAGGCCTGTTCCCACTATGACCCTCTTCCTTATTCACACAACCTATGGAGTTTTTCTACTAAAGCAGCCTCTTGCCTCTTTATTAGTGCCCATATCATACCAGAATTATATGGTATCTACTGAGGCCTGTTCCCACTATGACCCTCTTCCTTATTCACACAACCTATGGAGTTTTTCTTATATGGTATCTACTGAGGCCTGTTCCCACTATGACCCTCTTCCTTATTCACACAACCTATGGAGTTTTTCTACTAAAGCAGCCTCTTGCCTCTTTATTAGTGCCCATATCATACCAGAACACAGTGATTAAAAGGATAGAAAATGCTTGCCACCAGAAAAGTTACCTCACCATATTTTCACTTGCATTTGCAAAGGACCGCAAGCAAAGCTACAAATCAGGATTTGGCTTGTTCAGATTTATGGCAAATAAGATAGGCAACCATTTGAGGAAAGTGACTAACCATGAATCCTTGCAGTTTCTTTTTCCTCCAAAGCTAGCCAATTCTTGCATTACTGCTTCAGTTGCAAATATACTGAAGTTATATACTTCAATGCATTTGGAATCCATTGAATTTAACAATTACAATTAAAACTAACAAACTGACACTCTGAACATCTATTTCTGAGATATATTCAGAAAAGATATCTAGAAGGTTGTTCATTGGGAACAGTGAAGAAAAAGGTTTACTTATTCATTTATTTATTTATACAATTTATAAGGCCATCCTACTCACAAACTGTGACTTGGCAAAGTTTATCAACTTTACATTGATTAAAAAAAAACCCAATAAAATAAAAAGTACAAAACAGACAAATATAACAATTACAATAAACACATAGCCAAGGCTGGGTATAACAAACACTCTCACAACACAATGGACTCATTTAACATCTTGGTCAGAATAATCACTTCTCAAATAATTGCCTATCTTTATTTTCACCATTCCCCTCTCCCTCGATCAGCAGTTCCATGATATTGTCTTTTCCTAGAAATATAAAACTCATGCAGTAAGTAAGTTGCTGGCCTTTCAGAGGCCACCAGAATCTTTGTTGGTTTTCCTACAAAGGATTTATCACTACTTTATAGTGGAAAAAATAGTGATCAAATAGTAGTCAACTGATCATCATCAATTGACTACAAGAATGTGGTAAACATAGTGAACCTCGACTTCAACAAAGGATTCTACAAAGTTTCCCATGAGATTCTAGAAGAGAAGACAGTAGAAAGGGGGGGTGAATTATAATACTATTATATGGCTACATAGCTGACTGAGCAATCATACCCCACAAATATCCATCAACTATTCCACATCAAGCTAGAGGGAAGCGTTGTTCAGAAGGATCATGAACAGATGAAACATTGGGCAAAAATCAGCAAAATATATTTCAGAAAGAACAAATGCAAAATCCTACCTTTGGATAGGAAAAATCAAAGACATGAGTACAGAATGTGAGGGATCATATCAGACAGCAGTACATGCAAAAAGGATCTGAGTGTTTTGGTAAATCATGAGCTGAATACAAACCCACAGTATAACCTGGTTTCAAAAAATGCAACTCTCAGATTGCACCAACATAAGTAGAGTGTCACGCTCAAGAGAAGTCATCATTCCTTTTATTTTTTCTGCATTGGTCAGACTGCATCAGTCTAGTTCTGGGCACCACATTTTATGAAGAATGCAGTATTAACAAATTGGAGATGGTCTGGAGGAAAGCAATCAAGATGACAAGGATTCTGGAAGGAAAACCTTATAAGGAATAATTGGTGGAGTTTGGTATGTTTAGGCTGGAAAAGACTATGGAGAGACATAACAGCAGTAAACAAAGGCTGGATGGTCAGAAAATTCAGGGATACTGTAGTGGATTCCTGCATAGAACTTGAGGTGGAACAGATATCTCCAAGGCACCCTGTACTGTATGATTTATTTATGACCACTGTATAGCAGTTATCCTATTCTTACCATTCCACTTCACTAATCCACTTCTCAACAACTATATATGTATGTAAAATTGATTAGATGTTAGGAAAAATTCCTAACAATAAGACCTCTTTGACAGTGGAGCTAATTAGCCAGAACTGGTGGCTCCTTTTCACTGGATGTGTTCAAGCAGAGCATGGACAACCATCTGTTTGAGATATTTCAGTTTGGATTTCTGTAGTGAGTAGGGGGTTGAACTCAATGCCTAAGTGTCCCCTTCCAATTTTTTGATTTTAATCCTTCTCACAGGACCATACTGATGCTCTGGACATGATCCACAAAAGCTTATGCCATAATAATCTGCTAGTAGTTGTTAGTTCCCCACTTCTGTCCTGGGAAGGTCACTTGGTCATGGCTCTTACCCGTTCTAGAAAATTGGAGCTGGTCAGCTCATTCACTTTTTTAAGGATCTGATGAACACAATACTAGTCTACACACAGTCTGTACCCCATGTCAAAACTAAGTATAGCACTTTTAACAGTATCTTGCAAATTGCTTCAAGAGAAAATGTTTTGGCTAGGAACTGGAGTAAGAAAACATTTTTATCTGAGAAGTTTTAATGATATGGAACTTAAATTAACTTCAACCTCTGCTTAGAAGCACAGCTGAAATAATTTAAGTCCAAGCACTTTGAAGTTTGATAAGTGATATAAAAAGCATGCAGCAATTCAAGTAAAATAAAATGGAAAAGTGGTATAAAAAAAATGTATTGTCACCAATCATAGTTAAGCCGCTCTGAATTGTTGATATAATCTACTTTTTAGAAAAGTATATTTTCCCTGCTAATATCAGGAAGCACAATTGAATGATTTAACCCAAAATAATAAAAATGCCATTGGTTGAAGCTTTCCATTTCTTTAGGGTTTTGGAATAGGCATGGAAGGAAGACTGGTGCCATTGGGGGAGGGATGTTCCTTCTGCTAAGATACAATAGAGTCATAACTCAATATAAGATAATCCTTTAAGGAAAAACAGGGTGAGAAAAAGAGAAAGTGTGTGGGCGGAATGGAGAGCAAGCTTTGTAGCACAGCTGGCATCACAAAGTTGAAAAAAAGGTCAATCCAACAGGATGTATGAGGCCCCAGGCAAAGGCAATATTAACAAATCCCTGGGGATTCTCAACAATCCAAGAGATGTCCTTCACAAATCAAAAACTTATAAGGAAGTAGAAATATTTACTTTCTAAAGAGATTCTCTCTGAAGATGTCCTGCTGAGCACTCATAGAAATTCACCCATTTCACTGTAACCAATGGTATAATAAGGACTCCAATTCCAAGAAGAAATTTCTTTCTTGAGGAAGAATTTGTCAAATAACTGCAGTCCTTGAAAGATTTTGTCAGCTCTTCCCAATCTGGGGCCTACCAGATGATACAGAATCCTATTCCTGTTATCCCCAGCAAACTAACTAAGGGTCATAGGGGCTGTAATCGAACCATCCTGCGGGTAGCATGTTGAAGAAGTCTTATTCCATTAAAATTTTATCTTTACTGTCACAAGCTTTTCTTACTATTGTTACAACAAATAATAACCATTTGCTCCTATTTTTTCTGAGTCTCTATTGTTATGGATTAAAAGTTTTATTGCTCAGATTAAAAATTACCAAGTCCAATGGACATTTAATATAGATACCCATGTATAGGTTATAGGTCAAATTTTGAATATAAAGCACTACCACTTGTTGAATTAAAAATTCCATGAATTCAAGCAACATAAACAGTTGTCAAAGATTAAGCAAACTGGAGACCAGGGCATGTAGATAGGTTTTCTTTTTCAGACACTGTAGATACCAAATTAGGGGAGGGGGGCATGCTCTCTAGATATTTTCCTCACCTATTCCCATACAGAATTGAGATGTTTATTTCACCACTATGCATTACATCTTTCAATTATTGCTTCTTTACTTAAGCTTGAGTTTGGGATGGTTTTCTGAGACTTACCCCGGGAGCCTTTCAGGTTTTTAAAGAAGCGCAAAGTGCAAAGATTCTTCATAAATTTGAAAGAAGTCAATTAGAGGGACAAAGTAGCAATTTGCATATATGCTTTAAAATGTTTACCACTGAAGGTTGTTAAGATCAATGGCACATTCCCAGCTCCTTCCCACAATGCAGACGGAACTTTGTATACCCCAGGATAGGCTGGGGATTATATAAGGTCTCTACACCACTTTTATGCTTTCGGACTCCCTGAATTTTTTCTTGTAGGCAGTGAGGAGTGCCTCTTAACCATACCACACCACACCGCAGAAAACTCATTTGGGGCTGTTTCTGCCCTGCTGACTCTGGCAAGATCATCGGCCACACCCCCTGGAGCCCTTAGAGGCAAAACAAAGAAACAAAGCAGTGCAATTAAGGGTGGCAAAAATACTAACAGCCTCCCTGTGCAGTCTGTGTGGTTTTTAAGAATCTTCTCTATCAGCTGTGGGGCTGTAAGAGAAAGTTCCCAAACCAACCCAAAGAGAAAACCCTTGCAGTTAAGAGGTGCCGAGCATATACTGCCACAAGGGCTCCTAAGTGCAGCCTAATGAGGACTGCCAGAATGCCAGCCTGGTGTCAACCAAAGCAATGGTCAACTGCAAGATTTCCCAACATTTGTTGCAATTAAGCAGCTCCATACTCCATCTCTGAAATTTAACTTCTATGTGGAAGCCTGTTCCATCACATTTCTATCTTTGAAAATGCTGACTACAAATACTTAAGACCGAAGGAAATTTGTATTTTACAACAATGTGTATCAATGTTTGTAAGCCATAAAAATCCACAAATGGAAGTTTTAAAGTTTGCTTCTGCTGTGGATGATGTTTAATTTTACAAACATCTCTGACAGTAACTTGAGTAGGATAGCAATAGGTAACATTTAAAATTCTTCTCTTGCCTTTCATACAAGTTTACTTCTGAAAGGAGTCTAATTCA